TATTTACTAAATTGATATCATCGCTTAGCTGTGCTCGGATGCTTTGCCGTATAGCACATTAACCTTTTTTCCCTTTCCGAGATATAAAAAGTTAAGCTGAGTGGTTTTGTTGGTGGGTTGGATAATATTGCACCATTGCTCCTCTCAATGCTCAATGTTACTTTTGAGACTCTGTTCACTACTCGTCTTTCGTATATCTTTGTTGCTGTTTTAACATATTTTGAATGACTGTATTGCATATTTGACGACAGGTGGATGCACAGACAAGCTTGTATGAGGATATTTTTTCAAAGCTATCTTTACGATCCCATTTCGCAGTCGCCGCATGTCAGACCGTTACAATTTACAATTGTATATTCAGGTGGTGACGCAAACCATTGGTCGCTTGTCTCGCGTAAATATAAGTGTAATACTACAGTTGATTAAGAAGTCGGAAGCACTCGTCTAAATTGAATTATGTGGTATAACGGCAATACATGAGAGAAAGGCAACAACACCGGCTCTTCAATTCTGCTTATGAAACAAGCTGCAAGAACGTGCGCGAGATCCTATCCCATAGTCAGACCTCTCACTGAGTAAATTCTTTTTCGGTTTTTTACCTCTAAAGTTACTATTCAAACACCCATTGATCAGATTATGATGACTCAACCTAAATATCCAGATAGCTGCACGGCCTATCCAATGTTTCAGACAATGCTTGCAAAGCATCGTAATTCATTTTAAAATGCATACATAGCTGAGTCATCCCACGTGGTATGCAGAGATACATTGTGGAATGACTCAGCTACATATGCATTTCCAAACTTCGCATTTTGCATGGCTTAGTGCTCGCTAAATGGGGCGATATTTAGCCAATTGTTTAAGAACCACAATATTCCATCTTGATCATTAAAACTTAGGATAAGTATGATTGACGATTCAGCTGTCATTGAGCGAGTATCATCAGTCCGAGCAAGTTTATAGGTTTGTTTTGCTATGGGACGCCGCAGGGTGGTGTGTCTAGTTTGATTCCGTCAAGAGAGCTCTCGCTGAAGCCATATGGCCGATGCACCCAGACATGATTCAACTGTCAACATTGTGCGTAATCCCCTTTTGGTGACACGACGTTGAAAAATCGCAATAAGGGAAGTTCCGCAATTTCGCGATCTGAAGCACGTGGAATAACTATGAATTCTCCACCTTTATTGCTCATAGAGACTTACACAGTTCAAGTCAAAGTTAAATCGCGTACTTCTATAAATTCAAGCCATTGTCAATCAACTAAGTTAGTGTAATACAGCCAGATGTCGACTGAGTCATAGAAAGACCTTAGAAAAGGCAAATAC